TAAATAAGGGTAAGAGGACACAAGCAAAATTGTGTCTTAACAACTTGTGGGGTCGATTTTCACTCCGTAATTTTGGTCTTTCTCAGTGCAAAATTACAGACGACCCGAATGAATTGGCTAAAATGTGTGACGACCCCTCAATTACAATTAATTCAATTGACGAACTAACTGAGGATGTCATTCTCATCAACTACATCAAGAAGAAAGACTGGGTGGAAGAACACGACTCCTCAAATGTTATAATCTCGCTCTGGACCACTTCAGCAGCGAGAATCCACCTTCTACATGCTATGCAGAAGGTAGTTAGAACGCCTGGGTGTCAACTCCTCTACACCGACACCGATTCTTTAATTTTTTCTCACCCCGACAACAAATGCCCACTTGAATTAGGGCCTCATCTGGGTCAGTTTACTGACGAATACCCAGACTTTGATATTTTGGAGTACTGCTCTGGGGGCGCTAAACAATATGGGCTGAAGCTTCAAAAGAGGTCTACTCCCAATGCTGAGCCGGACTATGTTCTCAAAGTCCGTGGTATGACACTCAACTGGGATGTCATCAACAACCAGGGTCTCTGCTACGAAAATTTTAAGAAGCAAGTTTTTGATTTCACAAAATCAGATAATATACCGATTTTAATTAAATATCCAAATTTTCTTAGGCCATCTATTAGAGATGGTTCAATTATTACTCAACCCCTCACAAAAATTTACAAACCATATGTCGGTAAGGGCATTGTCCGCCCTTCCGATTTTGTTGTACTAAATTTTGGACATATTAATAATCGCCACCCTAGAATTTTATTGTAATTATAGGGGTTGGAAAGTAGCCAGGGGTACGGGCACCCAACTCTATACCAACTATCGAATGTTGTGAGATAATCCTCACATTGGAAATCGGTAGTCGTGGACTTGAGTATAAATTCTCAGTTCCCTGGTTGAGTTGGGCATGCCTGTCAAATGGCGAAGCCACACTCCTATCTATTACAATAATTTTCTACTTTTTCTTTTCAATAAAATTTTTCTTATTGTTACTAAATAATTTACACAATATTATTGTATTAATTTTATTCGTGATAAAATTTATAAAGATACAATTTTTCAAAAATTATTCAATAGGAGTCACAAGTTTTAGGGGTAAAATTGCATTGTTAAGAAAACAAAGATACAATTTTTTAAATATTAAAAAATTAAGAAAAAGAAGATATAGTTTTTATGGGTAAAATTACATAATTAGTGAGACAAAGTAGTAGATTTCAGATTTTAAGAAAAAGAGTTGCACTTTTTAGGGGTAAAATTACAAAATTAAGGAAAAGAAGATAAAATTTGTCAATTTTCTTCTTTTTCAGTGCACACGCGTGTGTATGGGGGTGCGTGTGTTTTATGTGCGCGTGTATTTACCATTCATCTTGACTAAGGTCTCCCCTATAAATTTCCATCTCGTCTTCAAATTCCTTGTCCATAAAAATTTCTGGACTATCTGGAGGAGAAAATTTTGCCTTATCTGAAAATTCCGAAGACAAGCTTGGAAGTTTCTCTATCTCTTCGTCGACAAATTCTAATAGCTCGATAGGGTAAAAACGATCCTTAGCCCAAGGTCGATACTCGATTACGCAATTTAGGTACGGGTTCTTAAGCTGTATACGATGTCTTGTATAAAAATGTTGTGCTATACTAATATTATAGGGGCGTCTTAGGCGTCCATAAGCGCGAATTCTATTTGCGCCTTTTCGTGTAAGACCTCCAAATAAAAAGGTCTTTCTTTCAAAGTCCTTGTTTAAGTAGGTTGTCCGGACTTTACGATCCAAAAATTTTGTTAGCACACAAACTCTTGTTTGAGGATTATCTAAATGTCCGGCTAGGCTACGGACGGAGCAGTCTAGAAAGCGAGCAATTTCCTCAATAACAAGAACCATTTTGGAAGAATGAATATTTTGGTAAAAATTCTGTCCTTTTATACACACATGTCGGTCACTCGACAATTCTTTGTAACACAGTCCTCACATAAATCAAACTTTACAGTGACCCCATTTTCATATCTTACTAATTTATCTTCCGAATGGAATAGTTTTTCTCTACATTCCTTGCAAAAATAAAACTGAAGTACATATTTTGGTTTGGTAAGCTTCCATAAATTTTTGTCAAAGACAAAATACACAGGTTTGCGAGAATTCTCCTCAGACATTATAAATGTTTGAATGAATAAATTCGACGGCTATTTATACTCGCCACAAACTAATTAATCATTTTATTTACAATATTTTGAACAAATATATCAGTGTCATTTATCTTGTCTAATATTTTAAGATATTGGGTGAAAGTATAGCCTTTCGAAAGAAAATAAATAAAAGAAATACAATGATGAGCACAACAATCAGAAGTAAAAGACTGGCATGCTTTCAAATTCCTAACAACAACAGAAAAACCTTTTAAAAATGAATCAATAATGCATATGCTTGTGGGTAAATTTAAACTATCATAGTAGACTACTTGTCCACTTGTTTGTACATAAATTGAAATCCTTGGGGGTCCAAGTTTACAACTAAAACTTTCCCTACCAAAGGGTCTGGTAAATTGTTACACGGGAAGCATCCTTGGAATAGGTGGTTGGTTTGCGGGTTTGAGCTCAATATCTTTGTTATCTGATTGCTGTACATTATTTTTATAAGTTTTTAGCCAAAAAATTGAGCGAAGTTGATAAATGATTAAGCTTGCTATTAACATAATATATAGGCAAATCAGACCCCAGCAAAAGACATGCCCATAAATATCCCTGGGGGTTTCATTACAGAGCGAGGGCAGGTTCTCAAAAGGAAATGTGGCAAAGTTAGGTGAAGGGGCTGATACTCTTGGCAGTGAAACATTTTTCTTAGGATATCCCATTTTATTTAGATACTCCGCATACTCAGGAATCTCTTGTAATTCTTCCATAGCTTCTTTAGTTAGTCCAACACACGGAGTGAATATCCGAAGTAATAATAAAGTTACTAAAATTCCTTTCATTTATTCAAATGGTAGTGTCGCTTGCTATTGTCCGGTTTTTATCTAACATTATAAGGGAGTCCGCCTCACCCATAACAACTAGCATGACTCCACCCTCGGGGACTGGCTGACTGAATTTAATGTTTATGGCTGTAGTCCCATTTCTTATTAGGTCAAATGTCCCACTATTATCATCCCCACTGTTTGTCAAATTGAAAACGTAAATACAGTGAGTCTTTCCAAATTGCTGGTAAGTGATTCCATTATTTTCAGAGGAGTTTGTCAGACCTGTAGCCTCATTCATATCATGAAATGCCCTTACATATCTCCCATTTTTATAGTCAAAGTCATAGGGTGCCTGGGGGTATGGTCTTCCGTTGGCAATAATACTAATCTCTCTAACATTAAAATGTTGAAAATTAAAAGGACTCCTGGCTATTGTACCTACATAATCCGAGTTTGCAACTAGACCTAGGGTAATTCTTCTGGGAATTTGGTCCATGAATAGGTTTGCGTTAAATTCATATCTACCCTGACTTATGAAAAGTGGTTTCATCATAGTCTTTCTTATTGAATATCTTGCAGGCTTAGTTTCAAGTTTTTTAGCAATATCAAGAGAGAGCCCGTCCATAAGATCAACCTTTTTGACGTACAACTTACAGCTTACAATTTCAAAATTGTAAGTTATTGGTTGTTCAACTCCAAGTACCGGAGGAGCAATCAATACAAACTTCATGTCATTTGGAAGTATTTCAACATCAATTTCGCAATGATTTATTAGATAGAGAGGTTGTAACGGGAACTTCCTAGGTCGGGATTCCCAAGAGGGAATTAGGTCGTTCGCCGCTAAAAACAATAGTCGAAAGTGTGTTGAAGTCGATGAGCGTCTTAATCCCAAAGATTAAGACGTGGCAAACCAAAAAAGATGTTAGACGATTAGGCGAAGGTTTGGATGGATGGCCAAGTTTAGACGATAGACGAACAATTGAATATTCCCAAAGAATATTCACAAAATATTACCAAAGAATAATAAAGACAAGAATATTAAAAAATATTTATTTAATTAAAAAAATTATAATTGTATGTGTGTGTGGTTATTAAAAGGCTGGTAGGAATAATTAGGCAAATGTTAAAATGATTGAACGAAAGTTGGTGTAAGGGGAAAAAATTGGCTTAAATAGGCCAGAATTAATGTGTGTGGTAAAGAATGTTGGGGCAATGGAAAAAGTGGAAAATATATAAAAAAATTACATGTTTTTAATAAAGTTGGCGGAAATGCACTTTCTCCCTTTTTTTCCCTTTTGGATGAAATTATTAATAATTTTTAGATTGGAATTTAAGATAAAATGGATAAATTTATCCATTTTATGAAAAAAGAGAGAAAGAGCAAAGTAGGCGATAACGATCACTAAAAAGTGATGTCATACAAAATAAAAAGGAAAATTAATAATTTTATTAATTTTCATCCTTCGACGAAAATTCAAGAAATTTTCGACATTGCCGCGGGCAAGCACATCAGTGGGTCCTTAGTTGTTAAAGATGGTTAAGTTGATTAGTCGATTTAAAGTGTTAGTCGATATTCCATTTGTTGATTTTAGTTTTTTGTAAGTTTGTTGTTAAGATTTAGTTTTAAGATTTGCTTATTGTTTGAAGATGTTGAATTTTAAATTTATGATGTTTCACCACGTTCTTTTTATTTTTAAATTATTTAAGTTGATTGGCTTCGCCAATAAATTTCATTTATAAAGATGCCTTTTATTATTTAAAGTTGATGCTTTTTGTTGTGAAGTTTATTTTGTTGAGTTTTGACGTTAAAGTTTAGACGTTAAAGTTTAGACGGTTAGGCGATATGTTGAACATTTGACGAGGACCCATTTTGATGACATTTGAATTGATGTTCCAATCCATTCCAAACATTTGAAAAAATTACAAAGAAAAAGATTAAGGAATTGTGGGGAAAAACAAAGAAATGAAAAAGGGAAAGAAAGATAAAAAGATAAAAATGAAAAAAAAATTTCTTTACTGCTTTCCTCCATTCCAACTCCAAGAGGTTGAAGGTTGCTCAGAAGGTGCAAGTTGTTGAACAAGTTTGATTACGTCGTTGATTTCGTCTCTTGTCTTGTCAAGTTTGGTGATGATTTGTTGACGCGTTGCTTCGGTGATTACATGAATTTGACGAGGTTGTTGCTCTTCTTGACGATTTTCGTTAGGTTTTGACGATGGCGTGGGCATTACAATTTCCAAGTTTTGCAGGGGGAAGTAACTTTTGTGGTCATATCCCATTTGCCAAGGGATAAAACCTAGACGTTGACGTTGGCGAGATTGACGTGATGTTCCACGGATGCCACCAAATTGTCGAAGTACAGGGAGGTGTGGTTCCCGAATTGGTAGCCCTTTCAGTTGCCAATGTTGTGCTACTGTTTCGCCGGGTTGAACCAGTAGCTTCTGTGCTGACTTGTAGGTGATGCAGTCCCAGTCTGTGATGTTGTTACCGTTGGTGTGGTCGCGTATCATTAATCCTCTAAGTTGCCGGTTGATTTTGTCGATAGTCGCAACGGTTTTCCACCAATTGTTCCCAAATCGGCTTGCCAAATATTCATCCAGACGTTCGGTTACTTCTTGGCGTTGACGATTTCCTGTTCGACGAGAATGTAAACGTGTTGGGGATATTTGACGATTAGACGGCGGTGGGTTTGATGCATGACGATTGCGAGGTGGGGAAGGTGTTCGTGGAAATTGAGGTTCCATTTGACAACTGTTGCGAGGTGTTCCAAAACCTCCGTTGTTGAATGGCGATAATGGACGGGAAGACATTTTGAATTTGGCGTAGACGAGCAGAGTGGAGTTGTTGAATGAATGAATGATAGTCGATTGAAATTGTATATTTATAATACTAGGCGTGTTGACAATAATTTTATTTTCCCATGATGATTGAGCGTGTTGATAGGCGATTGGAATTTTATTAGTTCTTTTTGCTGCAATAAGTATGATGTCATTTTGCCGCTCAGTTAGATTGAATGTGGGTGGGCTAGTTAGTCGTTGAAAAGTGTTTTCCTTTTTCTGAAGGGAACATCCGGCCGGCCACACCGAAAGTGCAAAAATTATGATTGGAATGTAAAGTGTTGAGTTGAAGGGTAAAATCGGCGCAAATCGTTTTTGGCGTTTTTGTCGGTAAAATGGTCGAAATGGTTTTGGCGTATGGGGATAGACGGTTCGAATCATCAGGCATATTATACTAGTCGAAACGATGGCAATTCCAAAGAGATTCCATCCAAATGTGTATTTCGACGATATAGTCGCAGCCGAAATTCGTTCGAGTTTGTCGATTGTTGTTATATTGACTGCTTGAACTTGTGCCAAAATTGCAAAGACGGTAATAGTTCTGGCCATTTGACGATAAATTCGAAATATTGGCGATATTCGCATGAAGAGGTATACGGCGAGAAGAGCAAGTCCAATTGACGTTATGATGCCAAGGAAAATTGGTCCTCCTTGAAGAAGTTTGCCGAGTATCCATAAGTCGAATCCAAGATCGGGCCAAAAACTAAAGCTTTCGGGGTCCAAAATCAGTTGTTTTGATCGATGTTGTTGATGTCCCCATTGTCGTCGAAGAGGGATGTAATAAAGGCTGCCATTGAGGTTGAAGTTGGTCTCTCCAGCCGGACAGTCGACGGTACAAATAGTGTTGACATCTGGATAGTCGATTGGGATCACATCTTTGCCGAGGGTTCCATTTGTCGAGCAATGGGCGACGAATAAAATCCCATCTTCACATTTGACGGTGGCTAAGACGTTGGCGTTGTCTGATCTGCATTTGTAGGTTATTTGCGCTCCAGCTCCACATCTGTAACATCCATGAAGTTGAGCTTCATCCATATAGCATTTTGAATCACGAAGTTGAAGATGGAGTGCAAGGCTTTTCATTTGAAGATGTATTTGAATAGGCGCATAGACGTATGTTGCTGAGATTGTCGGTCCATTGTTTTCCAGCCATACTTTTGCTCTGGTGATTGGTAGTCGTGTTTCTGGGTTCTCCATCATTGCATCGAGGTCCACATCTCGGCAGTTGCATTCAACTGTTCCGTCGTTGTGGTTTGGGAAGCATTCTTGGCAGGCTTCTTGGTCGAGTGAACAGTTTAAGGATCGAGCTGCCTCTTCTGTTGCGCAGTGTAGATCAACAGGTAGTCGACTGACGATTGAGACGGTTTGTCCATTAGTGACGAATGTTGATCCAAGTACCGGCATAGGCGGAAGAGAGATTGCCAAAGGTGTGATGGTGATGTTCCCCCATGATGATGTGATGCCAGGGTGTAAGATGACAGATTTTGATAGTCGTTTGCCACCATTGGTTTCTAACGTGAGTTCGACGTCCATTTGTGGGCTCCAACTTGGGCAGGTGAAGACTTCAAAGACGTTTGAACTGGTTGGTCGAGCAAAATATCGGTAGTATAGACAAGCTGATGTTGGTAGTCCACAGCTGTTGCCCCAAAAACTAGTCGATGGAATGCAGAAAGTGTTGCCAGGTAGTTCCCGTCCAACATGTAGTTCTTTGACGTGACTATTTGGTCGAACATTTTCACAATGGTCGTTGAAGCATGAGCCAGCTCGAGGGCATCTTTTGACGGCTGTTGGTTCGACGCGATATGAACGTAACCAGGCGATTGATTGTTGATGGCAAGCCATTTTCAAAGATGTTAGACGCATTGACAACGTGCCAAGAGTTAGTCCATGTTCGTCGCGAAGAAGCAACGTGTTGACTTGGCCGGCAGGTAATAACGTAAGTGTGTTGGCGCTATTGACGGTGCAGGTTAAGCCAGTTGTTCCTCTTAGGCAAGTTTCAGTTTGCGTTGTGATTGAGATAACTGCAATAGTCGGAATAATAAGTGATGTGATGACTGTCGACATTAGTATGATGTTTGACACTCTTCTTCTGAATTGATGGCTTGACTGATGAATATTTCTGAGTCTTGTGTACATCTTCTTTTCGGCGTAATTGATTTGTCGTTTCCAACTGTCGCTGTTCTTATAGTAGATTTTGTCGAACATCCAACGGAAGGGAAACGTTAAAGCTTTTACTATTGTTGTCGAGCCATTGACGAATAGATTGACGATGATGCGGATAGAACTGAAGATGGTGATGAAACATCCAACTAAACTGCTGAAGGCGAAAATTCCTAACAGAAATAGGAATGTTGACCATTTCGGGTTGCAAGTCGGATTAGCCAGTTGTTCGAAGCAAAAGTAGCAGTCGAATAGGTCACATTCATTTACGGCCGGGCAATTGATCTTCTTTGTTATGCTGTTGTGGGAATTCTGCCAGAACCATGCTTCGCATTCATAGTCGTTAATGATGATCTCGGCGGCGAGTTCATAAGTGTATTCCTTCATGTCGGTGTGGTCAATACAATTCTTCATACAACAAACTGCTGTCTTTTGAACTTCAGGTGGCGCTTTGACGATTATTCCTTTAGACGAACATTGGAGTTGACAATTGTCGCACTTGAATTCATAGAGGGCGAGTGCTGAAGCAATAGTCGATAGGCTAAGAAGGCAAGAATAGTCGTATTGGCCGCATCGATACCAAGGTGTTGTGGTTCCAAGTGCTAGGATGTTGGCGAGTAAGACGATAAAAGCCACCAGTGTTGTTGTATTGACGAGTGATTTGCGTGGTCTGAGAGTCATTTGATGTTGCCTGATTGGCTTTGATGGTTCTTTAGGCGTTTCCTCTTGATTTACTGAGGTGTTTGTCGCTATATGATCGTCGATTTCAGTTTCCAATGGGCATAGTCGGCTGACTGGTCGAGTGATGATCTTCCCATCTCCAGTTAAAAGATTGACGCTGCGAATTTCATTGGTCGGTCCATTGAGTTCGACGATTTTTGCCAGAGGCCATAGATTGCGTGGTCGAAGATCCATCTCGACGAGTACAATTTGACCAATTTTCGGTGGTGATGTTGTTTGAGAACGTGGTCCCTTGTGTGTCCATCCAGCACGTTCTCTGATGGCCAAGATGTATTCGTTGCTCCATCGAGACCAAAAGACGTCTGCTGCTTCTCTGTATGCTGTCCAAAGTGCTGCCAATTTCTCAGGTCCAGTTAATTTCTCGTCGTCGTAGTCGAGATCACAATCGGTTGGTCCAAGGTCGTTTGGTCCACTGTTTTGGATAAGGTCTTTAGGCGTTAGTGGTAATGGTGCTCCAGGTTGGTCTGACACCCAAGTGATTGGTCGACTGTTGACGCTTGCTTCCACTTCAGCCAAGAATGCACCTAAGTCGTCGTAGTCGAGAATTCTTTTGCCGATGGTTCGTTGGATTGCTCTTTTGACGAGTCCAATGAGTCGTTCATATGTTGCTCCCATCCACGGTGCATAAGAAGGTATGAAGTCCCAGCGTATGCCATTCTTAGTCGTGTAGTCCCAAGGTAGATTTTCAGGCGGTGGTCCGGTGAGTAGATCCAGTGCTTTGTGTACTTGAATGAAGGTCGGCGCATTGTCGCTCAATATTCGTCGTGGTTTTCCTCGGCGACTGATGAATCGGCGTAAGACGTTGACGACGGAGATTGATGACATGTCTCGTGTTGGTTCCAGGTATATGCCGCGGGTGACCATACAACAAATGATGATGATCCATGTTTTGACGTTTTGGCCGGCGTAGTTGGTGGTAGTCGGGCCAAGGAAGTCGATACCTATGAATTCAAAAGGCTTTGCTGGTCGAACACGCATAGGCGGCAGTTGAGGCATTAATGGACGGACAAATGGTGGTGCATGTTGTCGCCGGCATAGAAGGCATTTGTGAAGGATTCCTCTGATGGTTCGACGAGATTGAGGCATCCAGTAGCGGCTAAGGAATTCTGTCATTGCCCAATCGACGCCAGCATGTTTGAGGTCGACGTGTATTTCTTCCACCAATAGTCTAGTTAATGGCGAATGACGATCAAGAAGGATTGGCAGTGCCATTGTTTCGGGGCCATTGCAGAAGTTGACGCGGGTTTTCAAGCATAAAAGTCCATCGTTGTTAATTGCCGTGGGGTGTGTTGTATAATTTGCCAATAGACGTTTCTGTTCTTGTCGAATGATGAAAATTCGTGCTGCCCTGTAATCGTCGACAGTCATAGGTCCTTGGCGTGACACTTTAGAAGTTCCAATGCTGAGAACATTCGGTCGATGTCGTCCCATGAAGCGGATGACCCAGATTACCACTCGAAGCAAAGTGAATATGGAGCTAAACCTTCCAATGTCTATTGTCGGCGATTCTGGTTCTTTAGTCGAGAATGCTATTGTGTCGGTTTTGTCGGTGGTGGTATTGTCGTCTGCTTGCTTGTAGATATTGAAAGATAACTCGTCGGGCCAATCGTCGGATGGCTTAACGATCCATTCGGGGCCATTCCACCAAAGAGTCGACTGTTGTAGTTCCATAGGTGTTGAACCACGTGTCGCGATGTCGGCGGAATTTTGGTCGGTTCTGACGAAATGAAAAGTTCCTTTGGCGCCATCTCGAATTTCTGTTAGTCGTCGTTGCTCAAATTGAGGTTTTGGTTCGACGGATTGAATCCAAGCCAGAACGATGCGTGAGTCCAACCAGAAATGAACGGCACTGATTGGTCGATGTA